CCCCCCCCCCCCCCCCCAAACACACGCCGGTCAATGCAAGAAATATTTAGCATAATTTGTACCCTAAGAGGGCACAAATATTGGAAGTTTATATATATTTAGCATAATCACGTTGCATATATAGGCATTGTAAGTAACAAGGAAGAAGAGCATATTAAAAAATTTACCTTTAACGGCAGATGGTTTCTTAAGCCTGCAACTCCATCATATATAGGCCGATGTTTGAAAGGTCTTTAGAGCATCAGTTGTAGCATCATCGGTATCCCTGGCTTGAAAGGTGATACGGCACCACAACCCAGCAGCAAGTGATATGTTCACAGTCAAATTTTTGACAAATTCGTACCTTTTATTCTAACAAATAGAAGAAAGCCAAATTAAAAGGGGCAGACAGAATAACATTTTTCTCTAAGGATACGGCAATTATATAAGAAGTTTTTACTTACATTCTGTGAATTGAAATCGTCAATGGCCATGCGAGACAACTCGGTATATCTTGGGATGTTCTCGAAACCCCGTTGTGGATTAATTGGAGCCACCATACTAACCCCCAATGGCAAATCCAAATTGATATCAAAACCCTATTTTGCATTATACATGAACAACAAAAAGGACAAAAAAAAAAAAAAAAAAAAGAAACACCCGACAAGTAGAAAAAGCACACACCCAATGGTGTGGTCTAGTCGTCAATGAAGTGGAATGAGAACCATGAGTTCTCAGTTTCAATAAGTCTAGCGGATTAGACTAAACCGACACCTAATAATCACCGTTCATTGACAGACTCCTTGCATGAATTTATTGTTGAGTAGGAGTTCAAGTCTAAAATAAAGTAAAACTACAGAGACCTACACGTCTAAAGTAAACTATGTATATTTTACAGTGGCATTAATTGTTAGTTCTACTGTTTAGAGACAGTCAAGGAATCAAAAATTGCTTGAAGAGACTTTTTTTGGGTACAAATATCAGACATTTAGGATATGCTTGAGAAAAACACTAGGCGATTTCTTACCATGATACGAAATCATACAAATAAATAAAAAAAGTTATCTACGGGCTCAAACTAGTAGTAGCTTTAGTCCAAATATTGTATTTGTATTAAGAGATTCATGAAATAAGTAAAAAAAAATTAAATTCAATAATTATCTAGAATTTATAGGTCATAAGTTTGAAAAGAGGGCAGGGTACCCACCTCGCTCTCATCCACCTGCCGATTATATTCCTCCCGAAGTTTCCGGGACATAGGTCGACCGTCGAAGAAAAAATAAAAATTTGAAGATAAATTTTTTTAAATATTTAAAAACCGTCATCCCTCTAGAACAGAGGGATTATAATTTTTGCTTACAATATTATTATAGAATGAGAGTGATTTTTATTATAGAATGAGAGTGATTTTTATTATTGATGTTGTTGGTTTAACTAGTATATATTTGTTTTTTCATATATACAAATATATAACAAAAAGCTATTAAATCTAACTAATTTTAATTTCTTTGGTTTCATCGATATAGAGATGAAATGTAATTTTTCTATATTTAATCCATAAAAAACCTATACTAGACTTATGGCTAGTGTAACATGAACATGACGAATAAGGTATAAAATTATAATTTCTTTCGAGATGCAGAAGTAGAAAATAAATTTTTTCAAGAAAAAAATATCTTTACCATAAGTTTATAGTTTTTAAATTATCTTTATTAACATTTTTTCGTTTTTATTTTCACCATCCCTTTCTTTTCTTTTTTGTTTCGCTGTATTTTTATTATCCTTCACTTATCCTCTTTGGAATAGTCTCTCTATTACAAATATAAAAAATTACTTTACCGATTCTTCTTTTCTTCGTCTCCAATTCCTCTTTAAAATAATTTACAAGGGTAATCACCCTACATCACTCTCTGTCATCCAAAACTAACCTTGTCGTGATGACGCCTAACGTAATACTAGGCAAGCTTATACACTACCAAAACAAATTAATATTTTCATTTTTAAGACAAAACCAAAGCATTTTAACAATAAATCTACATAAGGAGTTTAAATCAAACCACAATGCGGAAAGAAAGTCCGACATCGGGGTGTCACTAGTCTTGAGCATCTACTACAACCGTCTGACAACATCAAGACTAACATAGCCTAGAAATAACTGAATACAACTAAGGGAGGATAAGGAGAGAGAAGCAGGGCTTCGATCGCCAAGGCAGCTACCTTACTAACTCCGATGGACCTGCCACTAAGTAATCAACACCCGCTACCGGGTTTAAAAATACCTGGATCTGCACACAAGGTGCAGGGAGTAATGTGAGTACGCCAACTCAGTAAGTAATAAAAGTAAATAAAGAGCGAGCAGTAGTGACGAGCAATAAAACATATACAGTTCATATCATAAAATCTCAGTAGAATACAACAGGCTTTTAATATCAGGGTTTTGAATCAACTCAGCTCATTTAAATCCAGTTTTAGTAAAACCATTTAAAACATCTTTCAACAGTTTTCAACAAAGTGATGAAACAGTGAGTAAAAATGATGAAAACATAATCAGCCATTCAGGCAAAAAAATCCGGGGTTTCATACCCTCAGGACTAGATTTACAATCATTACTTACCTCCAACAGGTCAAATCCCTACTCTGCGATGCTCTTGCCCCTCGACTCGGACTCCAGTCGCTCCGAATCTATTCACAACCATAACAATACCATCAATATACGCTAATGGAATGAATTCCACAAGAAAAACTATCAAATTAGGCACAAATCCCGAAATCCTCTCAAACCCGACCCCCAGGCTCACGTTTCAGAATCCGACGTAAATCACAAAACTAGAAAGCCCTTACACCCACGAGTCCATAAATACAAGATTTACCAAAATTCGACTCCATTTGACCCTCAAATTCCCAAATCAAACTCTCCAATTCCCAAGCCCTAATTCCAACACTTTCATCCCTAATTTCTACGAGTTACATGCTTTAAACAACTGAAAATCATCAAAAATCACGAGTATTAGGCATCAAATTACTTACCTCAATGAAAATCCCCTTGAATCCCTCTTCAAATTGCTCCCAGAAGCTCCAAAAATGGATAAAATGGTGAAGAATAACCCAAAATTCGCGAAGGATTTAATTTATACTCTCCGCCCAGCAAAACCGCATCTGCGGTCAAAATATCTGCTTCGGTGACGCCACACCTGCGGAAAAACCACCGCAGGTGCGGATTTCACTTATTCCTCAAGATCCGCATCTGCGGCCAACATATCGCACGTGCAGTCTCGCAGGTGCGCTCCAATACTCGCACCTATGCTTCCAGCTCAGACCACTCATTCCCGTATCTGCGGGCTTCTTTCCGCTTCTGCGAAACTCGCCCCTGCGGTCTCCCTTCCGCAGGTGAGGAAACACCAGCAGTCTTCATCAACTCTCCAACACCAAAAACCAATCCGTCAACCATCCGACTCACACCCGAGGCCCTCGGGACCTCAACCAAAAATACCAACAAGTCACATATCAACATACGAACTTAGTCGAACCTTCGGAATACTCAAAACAACATCAAAGCACCGAATCACCCTCATATTCAAGCTAAGAACTCCTAAACTTTCGAATTTCGCAAACGATGCCGAAACCTACCAAACCTCGTCCGAATGACCTGAAATTTTGCACACATGACACTATGAACCTATTCCAACTTCTAGAAATTCATTCCGACCCCGACATCAAAATTTTCACTACCGATCGAGAAACGTCAAATTTCCAATTTCGCCAATTCAAGCCTAAATCTAGCATGGACCTCCGAATCTCATTCAGACGCGCTCCTAAGTCCAAAATCACCTAACGGATCTAACCAAATTATAAGAATCCAAATCCGAGATCGAACACTAGAAAGTCAAAACTTGGTCAAACATTTCAAATTTAAAGCTTCAAGTTGAGAATTGTTCTTCCAAATCTATTCCGATTATCCTGAAAACCTAAACCGACGATTTACCTAAGTCATAATACATCATGCGGGGATAGTCATGCCCGAGAAATGGCGAGCGAAGTGAAAATGCTCAAAACGACCGGTCTGGTCGTTACGTTCTCCCCCACTTAAACATACGTTCCTCCTCGAACGTGCCCAGAGTTGTTCCAAATGCCAACAAATCATTGTATAACCTTACCATGCACATACCCGGGGGGGTGATCCACGTCACCCTATCCCATATGGGTCTGATAGCACAACATAACTGAAATTTCGTAATCCAACCTAGCCCATAAAACTTAGAACCAAATTTCCCCTTCCAAAATTATCTATAAGATCAGAATTTCACATCTGTGCGATATATAAGTCCGAACAAGCTGTATCAAACCATATCCGTAATCCAAGATGTAATTACATGATAGACCACATAACTTAAACACTCGTAGCGATAACTTCTAATCACATCAGCTGCTCAAAATAACCCAATACTGATAATAAACCTCTTATCAAACAAAGCCTCGTTCCAACACTTTCGTCTACTGCCAATGATGAAAGAAACACACAGAAATCATAACCATTCCTCCGATCAACTAGTCTGGAGTTCCTCTCCTTCGGCAAGGACTATAGTAAATTTCTAAGCCGAATTTCGATATTATCCTTCCAACATGCTGAAATTGAATCCGATGGTATTCATCCTAGGTCTAATGACCTCATCTCATCCAACACGACTACTCAATTGACATGACACATCAATACCATCTAAGGACACAAGCCATGCAAATCCGTGCACCAATAAGCAACAGTCTAAATATACTCAAATTGTGGAAAATGCCTTAAATGAGATAGCTGTACCCCAAGCTCACCAGTACCACCACAACACGATGCTAAGAACCCATCACATACCGTAGAACCAGAACCCACGAATATAACCCGAATGATCATACCTTTACATAACTCCATTACAACGCGCGACCCTATCCAAACACCGGTCCACATGAAATAACTCAAGTCACCATGCTCAAAATCATCAAACCTGCGCAATTTGATGTCTAGTACCAAAAGTGAATCACCATAACCACGGAGAAGTAAATGACCCAATGCCATACTAGCCCGAAAGAACATATCCAATGCGCAATCAGTCATGCAACACCCAAATACCCGTCTCACTCAAATTCCACTATGAAGACGAAATAGAACCATATCATTTGTGCATCAAATCAACAAATCACAATCTCGCGTAGCTCACAAGAGTAACTCACAAACAAATCTCAGGACACAATAAGCTTATCAACAACTGAATGGCACATGTCTCAACAATAGCAATTCAGAGTCAACAAAGCCGACTCGATGCAGAACACACATCCATATTGGCCTACCAATGAACCCCTTATCAAGGAGTTCCTGAAGCTGCTCCTTCAACTCCTTTAACTCCGCTAGTGCCATACGATATGGTGGAATAGAAATGGGCTGAGTTCCCGGCACCAAATCAATACCGAAATCAATAACCCTATCCGGTGGCATGCCCGACAAGTTTGGAGGAAACACATCCAGAAAATCCCTCACCACCCGAGACTGAATCAATGGTAGGAGTTTCTGCACTGACATCTCGCATGAAGGCTAAATAAGAAAGACAACTCTTCCCAACCATCCGCTGGGCCTTCAAAAATGAAATCACTCTACTGGGAACATAATCCGTCGAACCTCGCCACTCCATCCGCGTCACCCACAACATGGCCAACATCACCGTCTTAGCGTAACAGTACAGATTAGTACAACAAGGAGACAACCAATCCATACCCGTTATCACATCAAAATCCACCATACTATTCAGGTCTCCAAACCCCCCAATAGTCACCATACAAGATCGATATACGCGGTCCACGATCACGACATAACCCGTTTATGAGAACTCCCAGTCTCCAAATCCATAAAGCACACGAATCACCATATCTGATCCCAACTCCACCGCCCGTACTCGATCATTCCATGAGGGATACTTCTATAATTCTTCTGTGAAACCAAGCAAACTCGAATATCAGTAGTCGATCAAACAAGAGAGTGCCGCAATACTAATGAAGAATCCATCGCTTAAACACATCCCCCTTTTTGGAATTTATACCCTCACCAAGCCACACCAATTAGTAATATCAATCACCTAGTCAGCAACAAAGGATTAGATTATGTGCAAAGTAACAGAAAATGAGATATATGATGGGCTATCTTCAATAGGGAATGATAAATCTCCTCGAGTTGATGGTTATAATGCTTACCTTTTCAAAAAAGTATGGCCTCCTGTGAAGACAGAAGTTATTGATGGTGTTAAAGATTTCTTCAAAATTGGGAGATTGTATAGGGCAATTAACTGTACTGCTATCACACTAGTCCCAAAAACTGCCAAGCCAAACATTATGAAGGAGTATAGGCCTATTGCATGTTGTACCGTGCTATATAAAATGATTGCCAAATACTTGCCTACAAATTGCAGGAAGTGATGCCAGACATTATTTGTGAAGCCCAGGCTGTTTTCATTCCAGGGAGGAAAATAGCTGACAACATCTTCCTTGCCCATGAGCTAGTAAAAGATTATACAAGTAAGAATTTATCAGCTAGGTGCATGATAAAAATTGATCTACAAAAAGCATATGATTCTGTTGAATGGCCCTTTGTGAGACAGATGTTAATTGAGCTTGGTTTGCTTGACCAATTTGTGTTTTAGATAATGGAGTGTGTTCAAACTGTAAACTATATTGTGGTGATCGATGGTGAATAAAGTAAGCCCTTTAATGCAGCTAGAGGACTTAGACAAGGAGATCCAATATCTCTATTTCTATTTGGGATAACTATGGAGTACCTGCGTAGACTACTTAATGAGTTGAAAGAGGATAAAAGGTATCAATTTCATCCAAAATTTGCAAAACTAGGTGTCACACACTTAAGTTTTGCAGATGATCTATTGCTGTTTGCCAAAGGAAACCTTCCCTCTATCACTGCACTCTATGAATGTTTCAGGATTTTCTCTACAACTTCAGGACTGCAAGCTAATCTTGGGAAGAGTTGTGTATATTTTGGAGGAGTTAGGAAGGAAGAGCAGGAAAATATTCTGAAGCATTTGGGGTTTGTCCATGGGAATCTGCCTTTTAAATACTTGGGAATGCCTTTATCTACAAAGAAGATTTCTCTATTGTAGTGGCAGCCTTTGATAGAGAGAATTACAGCCAGAATCACTTCATGGACAGAAAGAAACTATCATATGCAGGAAGAACTCAATTAGTGAAGTCAGTTCTGTTTGGTATGCAAGCATATTGGGCTCAACTATTCCCTATTCCTTCAAAGGTTTTGAAGACTATAGATGCCTATTGCAGAAGCTATATGTGGTCAGGTAGTAATTCAATTACTAAGAAAGCTTTGATAGCATGGGATAGAGTATGTCTGCCTAAGTCTATGGGAGGAATAGGTATCATCAACACAAAGCTATGGAACCAAGCTGCTCAAATCAAGACATGCTGGGATGTTGCTCATAAAGAAGACAAAATATGGATTAGATGGATTCGTGCTTATTACATCAAAGGAAAGCCACTAATGGAAATAATAGTTCCAGCACAAGCAAGTTGGATTACTAGGAAGATATTGGAATCGAAGAATAAGCTGCATTTGATACCTGGAAACAAGACCACAAGGAGTTTGACAAATACTATCTACTATAAGCTGCTTCCTGAAATGAGGCCAGTAATCTGGAAGAGTCTTATATTTAAGAATGATGCGAGGCCAAAAGCAAGCTTTATAACGTGGTTATTGTTACAGGGGAGATTGGCAACAACAGATAGACTAATAAGATGGGGCATGACAGTGGACACCACTTGCTCATTATGTCAAGCAGAACTGGAAACTAGAGAGCATTTGTTTGTTGAATGTGATTTTGCTAAAGCTATATGGAGGAGACTGCAGAAATGGTTAAAATGGCAGCAAATAGCAGAAGAATGGAATCAACATATTGACTGGGCTATCAAAAATGCTAAAGGAAAATCACAACAAGCTCAAATATTCAAATTGATATATGCAGAATGTATATGTGCTATATGTATGGAAAGGAACAATAGAGTGTTTGAAAAGAAGACTAGAAGTTGGGAAGCAATTGTACGAGAAATTGTCTATATCTGTTATGTTAGAGCAGGCCCTAGAGTAAAAAAGTTTCTGTAGAGTTTTACATTTTTAGATGTTTAAGAATTTTGTGTTAGATGAGCACTCTTTGTATATAGTAGTAGTGAGGAAAGATAGATAGAGTTTTTTTTTTTTGAGATAGCTAATTTTGTTTGATTAGCTATGACCTTGTAAAGTTTTCAAAGGTGATTAGTACAAAAGGTTAGTTACCAAAAAAAATTACAAAATCGACCAAAAAAAACTGATATAGTTTCCTTTTTGATAAATTCAAACCATGAAACCCCATTTGACTTTATGTTTTATGTGCCAAAAGACAGATTATTTAGAGAAAAACAATAAGGGTGTGTTTGGTACTAAGGAAAAATATTTTTGTTTCAAATTATTCATGTTTGGTTGATTTAAATATTTTAAAAAATATTTTTTCTCATGAACTTATTTGGAGGAAAATGACTTTCCTACCAAAAGAAGGAAAGATATTTTCTAAAATATTTTTTCAACCTTTCGTACCCTATTTTTATATACCCCCCCCCCCTCCCCCGCACCCACCACCCCCGCCCCAACTCCACCACCCAAACCCTAGATTACGCCTACCCTCACCACCGCTACACCCTGCCCCTAGATCCTGACCTACCATCCTCCCCTGCCCTTATTCATCTCGTCTCCTATAGCATTTTCTTAAATTATATATTTTTTAAAAATATTTTTTGCTACATAACCAAACGCCAAATCAAAATAAGTAAGTTTTAAGGAAATATTTTTCTTCGTACCAAACATACCCAATGTTATTCAATTTTCTTTTTGATGAAAAGCGGAAAACCAATATAATTTGTTTGCATATTCTCTGTCTTTTTATTTCATCTTTACTTATAAAAATCATGTGCATGCATAAATATGCACACGAAAATAAACACTATTTTTACGTACACCCCAAAATGAGTTTGTCTTAAACATTAATGAATTGAGCCAGGGCAGTAATTTTCAAAATTAAAATAGTTTAACCACTAATTTTGTTCTATATCATTTAGAATTGAAGTGAGGAAATAGTGTTGGAATAATGTTCAAGTACACACACATATATAAGAAATTCTATCAAATTATACTCCAATATTTTGATCTAAGAAATTTTAACATAAATAATAAATTAAGTATTGGGATAAAAAAAATCAATCTGGTTGTTTTATATACCACTTTACAATATTTATCTTGTATGCCATTCTCTCTTTTTTTTCCTTAGGAGATGTTGTATGACCTAGCTCAAATTGTGTAAATACTTATTATGTCTAGTTTAACTGATTTTTTTTTTTAATGTAATTACGTCTGGCGTCCCCCTTATATTGGACACCCAAAAAAAAAAGAGTTTACAAATTACAACAGTCTAAAAGGAAAGAGAGTTTAACTGATTAAAAGTCATAACAAATGGCTTAATATTATTTGTCAAGATTACAACAATAACAAGCCAGTAAAATCTCACAAGCGGGGTATGAGGAGGTAGTATATACGCGGACCTTACCCCTATTCCGGAGGAGTAAAGAGACTATTTTCGATAGAGCCTCGGCTCATGAAAATGAAAAAAGACAGTGAAGCAGTCAGGGGCAAAGCTACATGTTTTGAAGGGTGGTCAACTGACCACCCTTCGTCGGAAAATTACACTGCGTATATAGGTAAAATATTAGATTTTAGATGTATATAACATATATTGAACACTCTTTGTCGGAGAATTTTTTTCACTTCTTTCAAGTTTGAACACCCTTGAGTAAATTCCTGGCTTCGCCACTGAAAGCAGTATAAGCAACAGAAACCAGATAAATAATACCATCAACATAATACAGATCATTTTGAATAAGTTGAGTGTAGTCCATTAATAGTACAATTATAGTAGTAAGATAAAATAAATTACATAATGCAACCTAGTAATTTGATTTGGAATGAAAAAACAAAAAAACTTACACAGTTATATGTCTCCTATCCCACTACTTACTGTACGAAAGTTCTTGCATTGCATTTCACAGACTTGCAGTCCAGCAAAAACCATCACCTTTTTCCCTTTTAAATTTACTTATTCTCATTGTTTTACTTTCATTCTTCATTACCATCTCCCTTGAGTGATATGCTCTCCCCTCTCTCTCTAAATTTTCTTTTCAAGAGCTTCTCATTTTTGTGAAGCTCAGTGTTTTTTACATTGAACCATTGGGGTTTTTGAGTTTATACAAATTAGTATAAATTTGTAGTTTGACACAAAATGTTTGATTGATTTATTTATTTTTTATTTTCGAAAATCTGGTGGAAAAAGAAGATACAACCCATGTTAATGGATTTCTTTTTAGAGTATAACTCTTCACTTTTTTCCATTTTCAAAAGCTACTGAGGTTGAACATTTTCACCATTATCAGTTTAGTTTGGAAGGTTAACAAGTTAATAAAAAAAATGATAAGAATGGACATTGGGCCTAACTCAATCCGAAAAGGTTGAGTTAGGCGAAATGTCCATTCTTATCATGGTATTAGAGTCAGACCCATCCCAATTATTGTTACCGATGTGGGGCCCCCATTTATGTTGTCCACGCTCCAGAGGCCTGGGCGTGAGGGAGGGTGTTGAGTTGTCCCACATCGGGGATTTGAGGTCCTTGGTCTCCTTATATGGCTTGAGCAATCCTCGCCTCACAAGCTAGCTTTTGAGGTTGAGTTAGGCCTAATGTCCATTCTTATTATGGTATCAGAGCTTTCATAGATTTATACTAAAATAATATTTTCCTTCATACACATTTCCAGCTAAAATCTAAAAGTGTGTATTATTTTGAACCAAATCTACATTATCTCGTTTTTCTAAGCTTAATCTTTCTCATGCTGTACCTTATTATTGTTATTATTATTATTATTATTATTATTATTATTATTATTTAGGGTTTGGGACCTGCAATCTGATCTGTTTTTTGAAGAACACTAAGAATATTGTAAGAAACTTTTTTTATGGATTTCTTGTAGTGTCATAAACCTCCCCATTTTTTTTCATTTTTATTAAGAGCTAGCTATAGAATCTCCTACTTGAAGCATTTAATTTAGATAAGTTTTTACGTTGATGATTGTGGTTAGGCCATACAGATATCTTTCAAAATACCAAAGAAAGAATATTTTAGTGGAGTTATAAACCATTGTTCTTAATTAAATATGGTGTTTTACAAGATTTGTAAAGATCACTATTCGCTTTTCTTTGATTTAATTTTGTGTGCGGCTTATTCTCCTTTTTCTTTTTGTAGTCAACATGGCAGAGAGGCAAGAAGACTTTGAATTTAGTTTGAAAGATAGTGGGATACTTCTTCCGAATGCCCGAAAATAAGGCAAGATGAGTAAGTATATATATATATATATATATATATATATATATATGTGATAAAATTAAATAATATCAATTATATATGTTATAGTAGTATACTGTTTTAATACGATGTGTTGGGTTGAGCATTACAGTTAAACGTGAGATCCATTTTATTCAAGAGGTAACCCACTATTAATCTTGAAGATTTATGCAAACTGATCATCATACAAATTTTATAGTACTAGTTAATTACGACAAACATATATATGTATTAGCTCATTTTTTATCCATGTTAAATATGGGCAGGCCGTCGGATACGGATATATTATCCATTTTGCATAACCCGTCAACCCGGCCATATCCGACCCGCCCGTTTAGTTTCTTATTGCATGTGTCTGTTGATATATGTCCTTTAGGGGTGGCAAATGGGCGGGCTGGACTTAATTTAGATGGGTCAAAATGGGTTGAATCGATAAATGGATCATTACCCAACCCAACCCAAACTTTACTTGGGCTGAAATGCGTTGGGTCAAGATGGGCTAAACAATAGGCTGTAGCCTAACCCGCCCAGTTTGATCCATTAATGGAATTATTAATTATCTTTGATGTTCAGGTAATCACGTTTCACAATAATGTGCTTGGTGATTGGAGATCAAACTTGATATTATATATCTCTTTTTTAAATCAACTTGATAACTATTGTACACGTTTTAGATAAAAGTATTTCATGTATTATACTGTTAGTCCCAGTAATTATTTTTATAGTTATATAAATTCATTTTGCTAGGGATTTAGTAATTCAACTTAATTAACGGAAAAGGTTCTGATATATCCTTGTACTATGATAAATTATTTAAAATTGTCTCCCGTTATACTATTGGGCCATAAAAGTCCCTACCGTCTAACTATCCTTACAAATCTGCCCTTACTTTGACGGAAGTGCCACGTGGCATCCATCCTTGCCTCTTTTTAAATCTGGGCACATAAGAGACGACCCGCTCCAATTATACCCACCAACCCATAACCCATTTATAAACCAAATAATACCCCAAGGCCATTGACCAATGACTTATAACCCAAATTAAACCCCAACCCTAATTTATAATCCTACTGCCATCTCCATCAAACCCTCTATGCTATTAGCTCCATCAAGACAACCCATTTCAACAAATTTCATCATAAATGTCGGAGTCTAGTGCTACATCAAAGAGGATGTGCCATTGTGGAGAGATTGCCAACCACTTCCGATCGACCACACCTCAAAATCCCGGAAGAAGATTCTATAAATGTGCAAAACCTGAAGTAAGTTTGTTAATTGTTTGTACAAAACTGAAATTTTTATTCCTTCTAACCTAATTATTGTTCATTTTCGTTAGAATGAGTCGTGTGGATATTGGGAATGGCAAGACGAACCTTTTCCGGACCGAGCTTTGGTAGAAATCAATAAGTTGCAGTATAAATTGGATGCTAATGTTACAATCAATGTTGAAGCAATTATTGGAGTCGTGCACGGTAGAAAGAGACAAGCTGTTGGAAAAAGTTGAAGATTTGGAGGTTTCAAAAAATGTTGAAGTAAACAAAGTAAGGGAAGTCGAAGATAAAGTGGTTAAGATGAAGATGTTTATTTGGATTTCAGTTGCACTTATTGTTGGTTTTGTTGCGGCAATGTGAATGAAATAAATTGTGTTTGTTGAAGATGGCCTATGGTCCATATTTCACTTGTTAATGTATGTTCCTAAGTATTAGAGTTCTTTTTGCCATTGTAAAACAATTACATCAATTGTTAATGTATGTTTTGATGTTCCAAGTGCTAGTATTTTTTCCAAGTGCTAGTGTTTTGATGTTCTATCTATTGACTTGTCAATTGTTTGCAATTAGTTTGAATTGTTTTATGGCATATGGTCCTTTTTAAGTACTAGAACTTAATTTGAAAACATAGATCATCAAAAGCATAAACTTTGGTGATGATCATATGGGACTAATCTATGCACCTGGAGCGGGTCGTCTCTTATGTGCCCAGATTTAAAAAGAGGCAAGGATGGATGCCACGTGGCACTTCCGTCAAAGTAAGGGCAGATTTGCTAGGATAGTTGGACGGTAGAGACTTTTATGGCCCAATAGTATAACGGGGGACAATTTTAAACAATTTACCATAGTACAAGGATATATCAGACCCTTTTCCGCTTAATTAAACACTAGTAATGGGACGTTCAGATTTGATACCGATTTGTAGTTACGTTCATTATCCTAGTTTTGCAGATTCAAGAATTCAAGTATAGTATTGTTGCAACCAAATTGATTTTTAATTGTTAGCTTAATATTTTATCTTTTCACACCAAATTTAAATAATAATATATATATGTGTTGTCAAATACTTGTGTGCATGAGCAAAAATAAATTTCTCTCTCTAACGTCAATCTAGAGAGAAAGAAACGTATGAAAAAAAGAACAAATATTTAATTTATATAACTTAAAAAAAAGTAGATTTAATTTAAAAAGGGAATATACCAAAAGTTGAATGGCAAGTACTATTTCCATTTTCAAATCCTTGTGATATCCTCTTTATTGCCGCAAATGAATGTAAAGCGTTAATGGGCTGAAGTTTGATGGGTTGAGTTTGGGCAGTTTCACGGATTGAACTGGGCTACTATGTTTGCACGGGTTAAAATGGGTTGGGCCCAAAATCGGCCCATCAGAAAGATATGTGTCGCCCTAATCCCTTATATATGGAGACTGAACTCTGTTTTTTACCACAAAAACTAGCTTTGTGCTGCTGTTTTGAACTAAATGTTACCATTCCTCAAAAGAAAATTATCACTTCATTACAGTTAGTTGACTTTGTTTTAACTAATTTTTATTTTAATTTTATAGCACGGGAGAAGCCGTATCAGCTCTATTTGCAAAAAAATTCAGTGAATGAACTCTCTATACAACAAATCGCAGATTTATTGCCAAAAAAAAGGAGAAGGGGAATGGGAATGTTGCTTCTAGCAGCAGTGGGACCAAAAGGGAGAAGGGGAAGGCTGCTCCTTTTTGCAGCAGTGGAACCAAAAAGGAGAAGGTGTTTGGATCCGGAAAAGGGAAGCAGAAAACGTGATAGATTGTTATTTTTAGTATATGTTTATGTTATAGAAATTAGCAGGTAAGAATCAATTGTGACAAAATATTTAAGGAAGCAGGATATTTCCCTAAATTTTTTTGGTGCTAAGGTCTTTAATGATGTAATGATCTATCTGGAAAATTTGAAATTCCAGATAGATCAGTAACATATATTTACACACAAAATAGTCAGTATCATTAGTTATTTTTTTAATTTTCGGCTTAAAAAGAGTAAATATCTCATTTTTAACAGTTTAGGTGTTCCAATGATCATATAGACTACACTCAACAGTAGCTATTTTATCACATCATCCACGTACTCATGATTACAATAAAATTGAAGGCAAAGTATAGACATCTCCCTGAAGTAGGCCACTATTTTCAACTGAGCCTAGTGATAAAGGGATTCAAAATCATAACAGCTTTTCATTCGTTAGTTTAAATTGCTTTCAACTAGAGTCCTAGTTTTACTGAAATTCTAACTCTTGTGTAAATATCTATTGTACTTATCTACTTAGATTTGGATTCACAAATCCACTGTATAAATATACGCAGCAAAGGCAATGGAAAATGAACACTTTCAGCAATTATTTGTGTTCCTTTATGGTATCAAGAGCATCAAAGACTCCAACGAGTAATTGATTCTGGGAACACCTCTTTTTTTTTTCTCTGTCAAACCAAACCAGCAACAATGTCCTCTTCAGATACTATTGTTGTTGCTGCTACTGGTGGCAGTGCCCCTCCACCAAATCAACTAATCACCATTAATCCTGCATCCCAACTACCTCTCAAACTCACTGGCAGTCACAATTTCTCGACATGGAAAGCTCAACTTTCCACTCTCCTTATTGGATATGATCTCATGGGTTATGTAGATGGCACGGAACTGTGTCCTCCACAGTTCCTTATTTCAACAGATGGTTCAAGCAAGCCCAACCCAGCCTACAAAATCTGGACAAGGCAAGATAGCCTTCTTCGAAACGCAATCATGGCCTCAGTGGATTGCACAATCGCACCAATGATAGCCAATGTCACCACAGCTGCACTTGCTTGGAAATGTCTTCACACTACATATGCCAACAAATCCCAGGCTCGGATTTTTGGACTTCGTGAACAACTATCCGCGCTGCGAAGGAATTCAAAATCTATTGCTGATTTCATGGGTGAAATAAAATCCTTAGCGGATGAACTGGCAGCCACTGGATCTCCTTTAACCAGCGAAGAGTTGACGATTAAAGTCCTTAGTGGTTTAGGTCCTGAATTTAAGGAAATTTCAGCAGCCATCCGAGCCCGAGACACACCTATAAGCTTTGAAGAACTATATGATAAACTACTTGGTCATGAAGTTTTCCTAAAGCATGAAGATGCCAAGAAGGAACAACTCACTATCACTGCTCAACTCAATCAGAGAAACTCCTCAAACAGTCGACCTCGTAGTAACAACTTCAACACCAATCGCAAGTCCTTCTCCACAAATGGACAGTCCAGCAATCATCTCAAACATCAGAATGGATATAATCCATGACAATCCAACAATCAACGAGTTCAGTGTCAACTTTGCGACAAATTTGGTCATATAGCTAAAGTTTGCCGCTCAAAATCTCACTCTGCTGCTGAAATGCAAGCTAATTTTGCTGCTCGTAACAACATGTCAAATAGCCGGTGGGTGATTGACTCAGGAGCATCACACCACATGACAAATGATCCACAAAACCTCATGTCTGCATCAGATTTCACTGGCACGGACGAGATCATCATTGGTGACGGTAATGATATTCCTATTTCACATATAGGAAACACCACTCTCTCAAATTCTAATTTTAATTCATTTATGCTTAATAATGTCCTGTGTGCACCTCACATAAGAAAAAATCTTATTTCAGTAGCCAAGTTTTGTAGACAAAATAATTCTTCCATTGAATTCTTTCCATATTCTTTTGTCGTGAAGGATCTGAGAACGGGGGCATCCCTTCTTCGAGGCCAGAATAATGGGGATCTGTACGAATGGCCATCAATTGATCGTGTCGCCAAGCAGTCCCCACCTTCAACTCAGTTTGCAATGTCAACTAGTCATCCACCACTACATTTATGGCATGCTCGTTTTGGTCATCCTCAACCTCGCGTCACAAAGTCAATGGTCTCGTTATTGAACCTTCCGGTGTCTACATCCAAGTCTTTTACTTTTTGTGATTCTTGCTTATGTAATAAGAGTCATCGTCTCTCATTTGGAATAAATACTTTGCAAAGTGTTAGACCTCTTGACATTCTGTATTCAGATGTGTGGGGACCCTCTCCTATTCCTTCCTTTGATAAGTCTCGCTACTATATTGTTTTTGTCGACCACTTTACGAAGTATTCTTGGCTTTTCACAGTTAAACAAAAATCTGATATCATGTCCGTCTTTGATAACTTTAAAAATCAAGTTGAAAAATACTTTAATACATCAATTCGTTCTGTCTATAGTGATGGTGGTGGCGAATACATTGGCCTACATTCTTTACTTAGTCGCCTGGGCATTCAACATTTCACCAGCCCACCGTACACTCCCCAACATGTTGGGACGGCTGAACGAAAACATCGTCATATCATAGAGACGGCTCTTACTCTGCTACACCATGCATCCGTTCCACTTCATTTTTGGTCACTAGCATGTCAAGCAGCCATATACTTAATCAATCGCATGCCTACACCGATTCTCAAAAATAAATCACCTTATCAAACATTATTTAACATTGCTCCCAACTACTCGAAACTCCGGGTCTTCGGTTGTTTATGCTATCCATGGCTTAGGCCATGCACAAGCCACAAGTTAGACAATAAATCAAAACCATGTGTATTTATGGGGTATGAAAAAATGTCAAGCAGTTACATTTGCTACGACCCTCAAAATCAGAAATTTTACTCTTCTCGCCATGTCATTTTTGTAGAGTCGGTATTCCCCTTCAAAAACTATCAAACTACTCTACCTCGTGTCAATCCTACACAAATAGGTCCATGGGTAATTCATCCTGTTGAATCTTCTTCACCTACTAGAGAAGGTCAAACTTCTTCCAAAGCTCTTCTATCTGATGAGATACAAATGGCGCCGATGAACAGAGATTCCCATTACTCTGCCATGATCAGTGATGAGCCTTCTGTATCACCATCACAGGTAACTACTTCACCTTTCTCTTCTTCTCTACCTGTTTCACTCCCTGCACAACCCAATCCAACACTTACTGTTAACACTACTGGAAACTACACCTGCCCATCTCATCCTCAAGACTCAACTCATCCCCAAACAACTTCTTCTGAAATAACCACAACTCCACCAATGTCAACTAACCAGTCTAACCGGTCTGCTTTATCACCCAACCAAACTCGACCAGTAACACGGTCAATGAACAATATTTTCAAACCAAAAGAGGTCTTTGATTATTTAGCCACAACTGGATCATCTCCTCTTCCATTAGCTCCTAGTTCATATCGCCAAGCTTGCCAACATCCTCACTGGCGTAATGCAATGCAAGTAGAGCTTGATGCTCTACAACGCAATCAAACTTGGTCCTTGGTACCCCCATCCCCCCATCATAATGTCATAGGATGTAAATGGATCTTCAAAATCAAACACAATCCTGATGGCACTGTGGAGCGCTATAAAGCGCGCCTTGTCGCCAAAGGATATACCCAACGACCAGGCCTTGACTTCGACTCCACATTTAGCCCAGTAGCAAAACATACCACAGTACGTGTTATTATCTCCATCGCCGTCACCTTTGGTTGGCTTATCCATCAGTTGGACATCAACAATGCCTTTTTACAAGGTACTTTGCATGACACTGTTTTTATGAAACAACCTCAAGGCTTTGTGGATTCTCGATTTCCAGAACATGTTTGCCTCTTGAAGAAAGCTATTTATGGTCTACGCCAAGCTCCCCGTGCTTGGTATTTGGAGCTTCGTTCTTACTTGCTTTTGTGTGGTTTTACTAATGCTCATTCTGATAACTCTTTGTTCATCTATCATTGTGGTGAGTCTCTGCTATTTCTTCTAGTGTATGTAGACGATATTATTATCACAGGTAACTCGAGGTCTGCTGTTCAGTCTATTATTACTAGATTGGCCTCTCAATTTTCTCTTAAAGATTTGGGCAGCCTATACTACTTCCTCGGTGTAGAAGTTACTCCATACAATGGTGGCTTACTTCTGACCCAGCACAAATATATATATCTGATATACTAGAACGCCACAACATGTTAGATGCTAAAGGGGTGTCTACTCCACTGTCTAATTCATCAGTGTTGTCTCTCAATGATGGTTCTACTCCAACGGATGCAAAAGAGTATCGGCGAGCTATTGGTGCTTTGCAATACCTATCGCTCACTCGTCCAGATATTTGCTTTGCGGTAAACAAGTTAGCTCAATTCATGCACTCTCCAACTGTTAAGCATTGGCAGGCTGTCAAAAGGGTTCTTCGATACTTGAAGCACACTATAACTTATGGCTTACACTTCAAGAAGTCTTCTTCCTTGTCCCTAACAGCATTCTCTGATGCTGATTGGGCCGACAACCATGATGATCGCATGTCTACATCAGCTTACTTAATTTTTCTTGGCTCTAATCCGATCAGTTGGTCATCCAAAAAGCAGCGTACAGTTGCTAGATCATCTACTGAAGCAGAATATAAGGCGGTGGCTACTGCAGTGGCTGAAGTGAACTGGCTCTCTAATCTTCTTCGTGAACTCTTTCTAAAGCAGCTCAAGTTACCAATTATATATTGTGACAATATTGGTGCTACTTATCTTTGTAAAAATCCCGTTTTCCATAGTAGGATGAAACATGTAGCCATTGACTTTCATTTTGTTCGAGACCAAGTTTCCAAGGGAGAAATTGTCGTGCGATATATACCAACAGGTGAACAATTAGCGGATCCCCTTACAAAGGCCCTACCTAAGCGGGCGTTTCTCCAACTAGTCAACAAGATTGGTCTTCTTTCCATCCAGCCCATCTTGCGGGGGCATGATAAAGGGATTCAAAATCATAACAGCTTTTCATTATCCACGTGATTCCGTTAGTTTAAATTGCTTTCAACTAGAGTCCTAGTTTTACTGAGATTCTAACTCTTGTGTAAATATCTGTTGTACTTATCTACTTAGATTTGGATTCACAAATCCACTGTATAAATATACGCAGCAAAGGCAATGGAAAATGAACACTTTCAGCAATTATTTGTGTTCCTTTACCTAGTACCTTTAGATACCCCAACCTCACTCAATATGTGTCTAATAAACGACTTGGAGCAGTATAGTATAGGCCAACTTTAGAGAGCCCAAAATTAACCAAAATAGTGCGCACTACCATAGATCAAAGCGAAACAACCAACCATCTACAGAGGATTTCTCAACACCAAGTTATTCTAATAAAAGCTTCATTGTCAAACATAACCAGAATCATAACATCGGAGCACATTTTTCCTTGTCTTAGTAATAAAAAACAGATAACCCTACGTTCCTAAAGACATAACTACGAGCGTAGATGACAAATCACAACACTTTTTTCATGTCTTAGTAATAACACAACTAAGTGACACTACATTATTGGTTAGGTCTGACAACGAAGATTTGAGCAGTTATCCTTTTGGTGCATTGGATGTTGTCGGCAAGCACACACAATAATAGCAACATATTTTTTACAATATCGGCAATAAATTTTGGCATATTCGAATATAACAGATCCAAATGGAGTGAAATGGATAGCGATACGATGGACCTCAGGATTGGGGCATAGTTGTTGTAATTAGGTGTGTAGCAAAATACACATGCATAAATCAATGGGTAGTAACATACACCACTGGATTGTTTCTTAAGCCTGCAAAATGTAATTTCTTTGTCTCCATCAAATCCCCACCACGCCAATGTTTGAAAGGTCTTTACAGCATCAGAAGTAGCAACATCAGCATCAACATCCCTGGCTTGAAAGGTGGTACGACACCAATACCCAGCAGCAAGTGATGTGTTCACAATCAAATTTTTGACAAATTTGTACCGTTTATTCTAACAAATAAAAGAAAGCCAAATTAAAAGGGCCAGACAAAATAACATTTTTCTCCAAGGGTAAGGCAATTATATAAGAAGTTTTTACTTACTTTCTATGAATTGAAATAGTCAATGGCCATGCGAGACAGCTCGGTATATCTTGGGATGTTCTCGAAACCCCATTGTGGATTAATTGGACCCACGACACTAACCTCCAATGGCAAACCCAAATTGATTTCAAACCCCTATTTTGCATAATACACGAACAAAAATGACAAATCAAAAAAAAAACCCCGACAAGTAGAAAAAGCACACACCCAATGGTGTGGTCTAGTAGTCAATGAAGTGGAATGAGAACCATGAGGTCTCAGTTTCAATACGTCTAGCAGATTAGGGGGTTTATGTACTTGTAGAGGTGGGTAAGACATTTGTGGAGGCGGTGCAAGCCGTTGCGGGTTTTGTGAGTGTGGAGCATATGGCGGTGCATTGTGGATAATGTACTGGGGAGGTGAGGTATGACTTCGGGGATTTTGTGGAGGAAAGTAGCATTGGTGAGGGTTATCTGGAGTTCGAGGATATTCATGGGGTCGGTATTGAGTCTGAAAGCGTTTAGCAGGAATGCCCACTGGATCATGTCGTTGGCGGGGCTCAGCAACATCTTTTCTATCAATCGGAGAACTGACCCGAGCAACTTGTTCGTTCCATCTGAACCAAAACTCCCTAAAACTTTCCTTGGGTCTCTTTCCTTGGGAATCAGGGACTTTGAACACAGTCTCGCTAGAGGATTGAGGAAGAGTGGCTGGTGGAGGAGCTACAAAAATAAGAGCAGATGTTGGAGTAGGGTATGAGGTTGTTTTGGCTGGTGGAGCATGGAAAATTTTGGAGGAAGTGCCAGGATGATTGTGGTAAGGGGTAAAGCCCGGTTCATGTTGAGGGGAAAGGTCGACGGTAGTGGGAACCTGGGCTTGTGATATTGGCGGGATAGTTGTAGGGTTTTCAGTATAGTTAGTGGGGAATGAAGGTGGAGGATGCCCCCTGACCCAAGACTGATGCATTTCTGCCATCTATTGTTTCAACCTTCCGACCTCCTTTTTCAGTTCCGATTATGATTCTACAATCTCCCTTGGTGGGTCTACAACTCCATTGTCCAAGTCTTTACTAACCATGTCAACCTTGCTCTTTCGACCTTGTGTTGTATGGACGAATCGCCAAAGTACCACAAACTAACCACCTTCTGTTATGATAACAATTAAAGTAACAAAGGGGAGCAAAACAAAGCCACCATATTAGTGTTAGGGCACTTATTAGATAGAAATATCACATGCAATGCCCCTAGCAATAATTAACGGTTCTAGAATGGCTTCGAGGGTAGGAAGGTCATATGGCATCATCCCAATTTCACTTTTCCTGGCCCATTTCCTTCTTCATTTTCCTTTCTAACACCGCTTGGTTTTTCATTTCTTTCCCCCTCTTTTCTTTCTGATTATCGTTCTTTTCTTTCCTCTCATTTCTCATGTCCCACACTTCATTCTTTTATTTTTCTTTTTTTTGGATTTTTTTAATAATGATTCGATCAAACCCTATGTAGGTTGCCTACGTATCATCTCCCTCATGAATCAGATCAAGCGTAGTTCTGGAAAAATAATGGACAAATAAACTAAAAATAAAAATCTTTTGAATTTTTCATTTTTATAACTTTTTTTTTTCAAATACAAAACAGGAAGTACTATAACAAAAGACTCAAAAATCTTAACTAGACTGACAGACTCGATACTACCGTACAAGACTAATAATTAAAAGACAACATAAAATAGACTTAAAAATAAAAAGTTTTCTCAAGTAGCTCGTGCATGCAATGGTCTTGACTAGAATGGTCCTGGGGTATTTGTCATGCTCAAACTTTAACAAATTAATCCATACCTGAATGGGAAAAATAAGATCAAATAGAGTTAGTGACTCAAGACACATGTGACGCCACGACACCTTCTATTGGACATATGCAAGCATGATTAAGGCTATTTTTGCAAAATGACCTAAGTAGCCGAAATGTGGCCAGAAGTGCAAACTCAACATGGATGACTACTCAGATATGGAAATACCTTACTAAGGCTTATATGGATTCAAACTCCTGATAATCATGGCCCAAAATTAATTTGCAAAATGACCCATTTTGCAAAAACGACCGATATGGCCAGAAGTGGCTAAAGATAAAAACTCAAAAGGACGGACCTTAAAGTAATATGACACCTAGTTGTGGACTCAATATCCTAAGACATGGGTACTTGAACCACTTCACGAAAATGACCCCTTTTTGCAAGAATGGCCAATGTGGCCAAAAGTGGCTAGACATGCAAGATTTGGCTAAGACCCCGCAAAGCCAAGAACCTAAGACTTACTAGGAAGACCGGACCCTATGTGGGCTACCTACGCATCACGTCCCGAAAGAGGAGAATCAGGTATGCATAGTTCGGGAAGATTGGATATGGGAGAAGCTTAAAAAATGACACTGATTTGGAAAAAATATATTTTTTTGTCTTTTTGAAAAATGATGGAAATTGTAAAATCTTTTTGAATTTTCTTTTTCTTGATTTTCTTTTTTTTTTTTTTTGAAAATGAGGGGACCGTGCAAAATCTTTTTGAATTTTTCATTTTCATTTTTATTCTGATTTTTTTAAAAAAAAAAAGTTGTGAAAGAAAAATATAACTGGGCCCTACTTGCTTCATTTTCACCCTTCTTTGCCAATCATCGGTCTGCCAAATGACCTTTTCACCCTCAAAGATGCAACATGTATCACATAGGGATGATTGAATATCTTTTTGGGCCACGGGCCCATTTTGACAAACCGACACCTAATAGGGTAATAAATTTAGTCACATCACCCTTCACCAACGGATTCCTTGCATGAACTTACTATTGAGTAGGAGTTCAAGTCTAAGATAAAGTATAAAACTATAGAGTCCAAAGCAAACTAAACCTAAAAAGACTTCATATATCTACAAGAATACTGTATATTTTACATTGGCATTAATTGTTAGCTCTACTGTTTAGAGATAGTCAAGGAATCAAAAATTGCTTGAAGTGACCTTTTTTTTCCGTACAAAACAACAATAAACCCAGTTAAAATCCCACTAGTGGGGTTTGGGGAGAGTAGGGTGTACGCAGACCTTACCCCTATCCCAAAATGGACAGAGAGGCTGTTTCCAGGAGACTCTCGGCACAACAGGAAAGGCAATAATATCAGAAAATAAATAAGAGAAAAGATATGTAACAATAAAAGATACCAGAAAGAAAATCACCACAACAAATATCACTGGCAGAAAAACACTGGGCTACGTATTTGTATTAAGAAATTCATGAAATAAGTAAAAAAATAAAATTCAATAATTATCCTAGAATTTAGTGGTCATAAGTATGAAAGGGTACACACCTCGCTCTCATCCGCCTGCCGATTATATTCCTCCCGAAGTTTCCGGGACATAGTGATACGAGTAGCTTGAGTCAGTAGTACCTCGTGCTTGCGGAGTGGTACAAAGCAGTTAAGTTAGTTAGAATAGGAGTTGAGGAGAAGTTTGAGAAACTATTACTTTAGCCCACTTAGTTTTTAAATGACAACTTGTAGTTATTACACATTATCCCTGTAATTTTTCTTGTCTTATATACAAAAGGTCCAAGGGTCCAAATAGGGAAGGTACGGGTGTTAGCAGAGGGAATTCCACCTCACTCACCCTATATATACATTGTAATCCCTGCTTCAGAGGAATCAATCAGAGAATATACTACTTATTTTGCCCTAGCTAGCTTCTTCTTCTTCTTCTTCTTATTTCCTTTTGTTCATTTTTGCCGCAACCTTTTTCTTTTCCTTTACTGTTCCATTGCTTAATTGCTATCAGTGGTATCAGAGCACCTTCTTGGCTTTGTGGCGATGTCGGGAGAGATGAGTGAAGTCATGAGCACACTACACAAAATATCTGCTGAGATGTCAAATTTCTCAGCTCGGCAAGAGCAGCTTGAAGCTGCACAGGAGCATAATAGCAAGCAGCAGGAGGACTCTTTGAACGAGCTAAGAGAGGTCCTTAATGAAGTGATTCTTGGGGGTAAAGGACCTGAGAGAGACAAGAGGTCACAACCTGCAGATGGGGAGCTATATTCCCCTAATAACCAACCCTTCGACTTTGGAGACTTAGCCACACCAAGCACCAGTAATGTAAGCACTGCACCAGTAGGTACCTTCACTTCTTCTGTTCCGGCTCCTAGTTTGAGTATTAGACCCAATGTTAGTAACACTATGGCAAGTGGTATGAATTCTGCTCTTGTCCAGTTGCCTGTGGCTCAATCTCAACCAATAGCTCGTTCAATCATGGCAAGTAACCCCCCTTTACCTCCTCCACCATCTTATGTGCTCACGAGTATGCCTTCTCCCCACCCCAGACCTGCCCCAATGCAACCTCTAAATTTTCCAACTCCACCTCCAAATGGCAGGGCATACCAACCCCTAATGGCCTGGCCTCAAGGCCCTCACACAGGAGTAATACCTCCCCACCCTGCCTATACACAGCCCATACATTTCCCTCCTTCTTACTACACCCACACTGGCCATATTCCTTCCCCTCTATACCACCAGACTCCTTATATGCCAACCTCATCCCAGTACCAATATAACAACATAGCCCCCAACCAACCACAAACTCAGCATAACCATACCACACCCTTGCCCAACATACCCTATACAAAGTACACTAAGGTGGACTTCCCTAAGTTTGATGGAGAGGATTTAAGAACTTGGCTATACAAAGTGGAACAAATTTTTGCAGATCAGGAAGTAACTATTCAGCAGAGAATGAAGCTGGTTTCCTTACACTTTAAAGGAGATGCCTTACAATGGTATCTAGGCTATATGAGGAGTAGGGGTCAGATGCCCTTGCCCACTTGGGAGGACTACCTATGGGCTCTTTGTGATAGTTTTGGAGCAGAATACTCAGACCCCATGACAGAGTTAATGAATATCAAGCACACTGGTTCTGTCAAGGACTATTAGAAAGCTTTTGTGAGTGTGATGACTAGAATTAACCTCTCTAGAGAGCATGCTATTAGTATTTTTCTGAATAACTTGAAGCCTGAGCTTAGCCATGCTGTCAAGGTTGGCAATCCTACCAGTCTTCCTCAGGCCTATTACTTGGCTAGGTTGCAAGAAGCCAGTTTTGCTGCCCAGTCCAAGGCAATCAAAGGTACTTTTTCTTCTTCAGCTGCATACAAGACACCTGTAGGCAAAGGAATTGGAGGCATGTTTAAGGGAAACCAGACCCCTTACAAGAAACCTGTGGTTGCTAACTTTGACACTAACAGAAGAAGGAGGCTTACACCAGCTGAGATGGATGAGAAAAGAGCAAATGGGATTTGTTTTTTCTTTGATGAAAAGTTCACACCTGGGCACAAATTCAAGGCAAAAAGACACTTGTACTCATTAGAGATTGAGGAGAAACAACTGAATGATGTAGAGGAAACAACTGTAGAAGAAACCACTGAAGATCAACAGATGGAAGAAGAAACTATTGAGAACTGTGAGATTTCTTTGGAAGCTATGAATGGCTCTAAAGGCTATAAGACTTTGAGGATTCAAGGCTTCACTGAGCAAAAACCAATCAATGTTCTGATTGATAGTGGTTCCACTCACAATTTCATAAATGAATATACAGCAAAAAGGCTTGGGTGCAAGGTCTACCAAATGAGTCCACAAGATGTCTCAGTGGCAGATGGGAGAGTGGTCCAATCAGTAAAAGGCAGCAAGAGTTTTACTTGGCTGATGCAAGGTGTGGTGTTCACTGATGACTTTTTGGTTCTCCCTATAGGCAGCTGTGATGTGGTCTTAGGGATACAATGGCTAAGCAAATTAGGGGATATTCAAGTCAATTTTGCAAAGCAGTGGGTGAAATTTATGTACCATGGGAAGTCAATCACCTTGCAAGGGATCCACCCTACTTCAAGACTGTGAATGCTAAGGCTCTCAATAATATCACAACCAACTCAGCTTAATTGTTTATGATTAAGGTCTGCCCAGAGGAGAGCAGTAAGGAGGAGTCAAGTTCCAAGCAGGAAGAAGCACCTCTTGAAATATAGATGTTATTGGAGGGGTACAGGGAGCTGTTTGCTGAACCCACACAACTACCTCCCTCAAGAGGGGTGTTTGATCATCACATCCCTCTAATAGAGGGTAGTCTACCAGTAAACTCTAGACCCTACAGGTACTCCCCTATTCAGAAGGATGTGATTGAAAAAATGACTCAAGAAATGTTAAACCAAGGTATAATTCAGTACAGCTCCAGTTCTTATGCCTCCCCTGTGGTCCTAGTAAGTAAGAAAGATGGGTCTTGGAAGTTATGTGTAGATTACAGGGCATTGAACAAACTAACTATCAAAGATAAGTTCCCCGTACCTATCATTGAAGAGCTACTGGATGAGTTAGGAGGCTCAAGGGTCTACTCTAAAATAGATTTAAGGGCTGGATATCATCAAATCAAGATGACACCTGCAGACATACACAAAACAACCTTCAGGACACACTCTGGCCACTATGAATACCTAGTTATGCCCTTTGGCTTAACTAATGCCCCTTCAAGCTTCCAGGGATTAATGAACCATATATTCAAGGCTTATCTAAGGAAATTCGTATTGGTCTTTTTTGATGACATCTTAGTGTTCAGTAAGAGTTTAGAGGATCATGTCCAATACCTCAGAACTACCTTTGACCTACTGGTGCAACATCAGCTTTTTGCTAAGAGGAGCAAGTGTGTCTTTGCTGCTGACAGAATTGAGTACTTAGGGCACTACATCTCAGCTGCAAGTGTTGCCACTGACCCTAAGAAGATCACAGCTGTCCAATCCTGGCCTGAGCCTGCTAACCTCAAGCAACTAAGAGGATTCCTGGGCTTAGCAGGATATTATAGGAGGTTTATCAAAGGTTATGGAGTTATAAGTAAACCTTTAACTGATCTGCTCAAGAAGGACAACTTCCAGTGGTCTTGCAAGGCAACTGAAGTTTTCAATAAGCTGAAGGAGGCCCTAACTTCTGCACCTGTGCTGGCTTTACCAGATTTTTCAATTCCTTTTGTGGTAGAGACTGATGCATGCAGCATGGGAATAGGGGTTGTTCTAATGCAAAATGGGCAGCCAATTGCTTATTTAAGCAAGGGACTGTCTCCTCGGCACCAATCCCTTTCTGTTTATGATAAGGAACTTCTAGCCTTGGTACTGGCAGTTAACAAGTGGACTCAGTACTTGACAGGATGACCTTTTACAGTTAAAACAGACCAAAAGGCTCTTAAGTTCCTCTTAGAGCAGAAGTTCCACAGGGTCCCAGCTTAAATGGATCACTAAGCTCATGCAGTATGACTTCATCATTGAATACAATAAGGGAAAGGAGAATAAGGTTGCAGATGCATTATCTAGGTTACCATTGGTGGAGCTAGCTGCCTTGACATTATCCACTGTCAAAACCGATCTGTTAGGTCTCATTATGCAAAGTTGGACCCTAGACACTTAATCACTAACCTTATTACTACACTCAAGCTAGGGGGTGCTGAGAACAATGGCTACTCCTTTGTACATGAACAACTCAGAAGAAATGGGAAGCTGATAGTAGGCCCTGATGAGCAGCTAAGGAAGAACATCATCCAACTGTGGCACAACTCTCCCTGTGGAGGGCACTCAGCTATAGACCATACCTACAGAAGGTTAGCTGCACTGTTCTATTGGAAAGGCTTAAAGGAGGATGTTCAGACTCATGTCAAACAATGTGACACATGCCAAAGAAGTAAGTATGAGACCACACCCTACCCAGGATTACTGCAACCTCTCAAACTACCTTCACTGGCTTGGAGTAGTATTAGTATAGACTTCATTGAGGGGTTACCAAAGTCGTATGGGAAGTCTGTTATTTGGGTGGTGGTTGACAGGCTAACAAAATATGCACATTTCATTGGAGTGTCACATCCCTACTCAGCTGGTGACATTGCTAAATTGTTCGTGGAAAATGTGTTCAAGTTACATGGAATGCTAGAAGATATAGTCAGTGATAGAGATCCTATATTCACTAGCAAACTATGGCAAGAGCTGTTCTCTATGCATGGTGTCACACTGAGTACCTCTACAGCCTATCATCCTCAATCAGATGGGCAAACTGAAGTTGTCAATCGATGTTTGGAGACCTATCTTAGGTGCTTCTGTGCTGATTCTCAGAAGGATTGGTTCTCCTATCTGGCAGCTGCTGAATGGTGGTACAATACCACATTCCATTCCTCAATCCAAACCACACCCTATGAAGCCCTGTATGGACAGCCTCCCCCACTTCACTTGCCTTACATTGCTGGGGACTCTATCATGGAAGAAGTCGATAGAAGCCTACTTACCAGGGAGTTCAAATACCAATTGCTGAAACATCATCTCCAGAGAGCACAACAGAGGATGGCTTCACAGGCTAACAAGTATCGATCTGATAGACAATTCAAGGTAGGTGAATGGGTGTACCTCAAGATTCAACCCTATAGGCAGCTCAGTATGTCAGGTTCTCATTTCTCCAAACGCTCAGCCAAATACTACGGGCCATACCAGATACTACAAAGAATTGGAACTGTAGCCTACAAACTATCCTTACCATACCAACTCCTCCTCCACCCCACATTTCATGTCTCACAGCTCAAACCTTGCCACAAGCTACCTGAGAAGATTTCACACCCCCCAGTCATTGATATTTCCAGTCCTTATTGCCCTCAACCCCAACAAATTCTAGACAGACGCATGGTGCAAAAGGGTAACAAAGCCATCGCTCAAGTACTGGTTCAATGGGAGAACACAGCACCTGAGCAAGCCACTTGGGAAGAGTATCATTCTCTGAGGACCAGATTTCCATCTTTCCTTCCTTGAGGACAAGGAAGATTTTGACAAGGGGGATCTGATACGAGTAGCTTGAGTCAGTAGTACCTCGTGCTTGCGGAGTGGTACAAAAGCAGTTAAGTTAGTTAGAATAGGAGCTGAGGAGAAGTTTGAGAAACTATTACTTTAGCCCACTTAGTTTTTAAATGACAACTTTTAGTTATTACACATTAGCCCTGTAATTTTTCTTGTCTTTTATACAAAAGGTCCAAGGGTCCAAATAGGGAAGGTAGGGGTGTTAGCTGAGGGAATTCCACCTCACTCACCCTATATATACATTGTAATCCCTGCTTCAGAGGAATCAATCAGAGAATATACTACTTATTTTGCCCTAGCTAGCTTTTTCTTCTTCTTATTTTCTTTTGTTCATTTTTGCCGCAACCTTTTTCTTTTCCTTTACTGTTCCATTGCTTAATTGCTATCACATAGGGTGACCGTCGACATACAGACCATAATCGCGATTAGAATCAGTATCTGAATCAGCGACATTTGAACTTACTACATTACTACTCTTCTCTTCCAACTTTTTTTTCCCTCGGCCATCATTCTCTGGAGGTGCCATCTGCAGTCGGAAGCTACTGAAAATGAGAGAGAAGTTCTTCTTAACCCTGACCTAGAAACCTCTTTCCCAAATTTTATAACGTTGAGACTTCTAATATACTTCGCTAGCAACCCCCATCTTTGGGGGGGGGGGGTTAAGTAGAAACATGTCAGTATTTGTTGCATGGTTATAACATATTTAAAATTTGTGATTCTATAACAATATAACATAGCTATAAAAGCTTTTTATTAAAGGTATAGTAAAAAATTTAATGTTAAAATTATTTTAATTCTGAAAAAATATCATTCTTTTGGAACGCTTTAAGAAGGAAATTGCTACATAATCACTCAAGGATGTGGTCTCGTAGTCAATAAAGTGGGCGAGAATCTGTAACGACCCAGCCGGTCGTTTTTGGAATTTACACCCCGATCCCCCATTAACTGCTTCCCCTAAGTTCATTTCTGCTATTTTGGTATGCCGGGACGTTCGGTGATAGGATTCGGAGTGTTTTGGGACACTTAGTCCATAAATGAGAGCTTAAGTGTTGAAAAATGGTCCGTAATCGGAAC